CTCTCTCACCTTGCGCAAAGGCCATCAGCTGCACTACCCCGATTACCTTATCTCCCTAGTCGTCACTTGGTCCCCAGCCTCTATCAGTGATGATCCCCGCTAATCACCGGACCATGTTCCCAATTCCCCTAAGAAATCCCAGCAAGGTTTGCTGCTGCTTTGAGGAAGCTTTTGGTTTTCTTATAGTTTATAACAGCAACATTCAACAAATAGTTATTGNAAAAAAAAAAAAAAAAAGCCAAAACTTCACAAGCATCAGCCAAATAAGAAAAAGGAAACAGACTTCCTCCAAAAATTCTGAGGAGTCAGCCAAGGAAAGAAATAGAAGATTCGTCTGCCCGTCTCCCTAAGTTATAATCAGGAAAGGAGTGGTGTCACCCAGAGAATTCTTACAAATACTCTCCAAATTTGAGAAGCCCACAGAGGGAGAGGGTGAGTAGCCCTGAAAAAGTTAAGGAGAGGTCTGCACACCCCACAGGTGCTCAGGAGTGGCAGGGCGGCCATCCAGCATTGGCCACTTTGGGAGTAGGGGTGGGGGGCACTGGATTCCGGGGCCACCTCAGGAACTTTGGGAGAAAACCTAATCCAAGCAAAGGCTTCTCCATGGCTGTCTCAAGCTACAGATGGTTCAATAAAAACAAGAATCCAATAAACCAAGAGCTCAAAACCAAGATTATACATCAACAGAATCAAGCGAAAAGACTGCAGAGCTAAGGAAACAGATTTAGAGCCACATGACACCAATACAGCACTAATAAATAAATTAGAGCAGTAAGGAACAGAATAGACATGACTGAAAATTGAATAAGGCACAGAATAAAGGTCTGAGATATTTCATTGGTTGCAGAGAAAAAAATAGAAAAAACATCATCTCATACACTCAAAAGAAATGGAAAGCAACGGTGATGAGATGGAGAATAACTAGTTTCCTGAAATAGAAAATCCAATAAGCATAACAGAGAAAATAGTCAGAAATACAAATCAAAAAATTTCCCCTGAATTAAAGGAAGAAATAAATCTGACCTCAGTATTCTCCAAAGCCATGTTCAAAGCCAGCAGGTGATGGAATAGAATTGTCTAAAAAGATCTGAGGGAATGAGTGTGGCCCAAGAATAGTATACCCAGTCATGGTCTTTTACAAGTCTGAGGGCAACAGACAGAGATTCTCAAACGTGATTGGGTTAAAAAATATAACACCCTCCAGCCCTTGCAATAAAAAAAGCACTCAACAGGAAAGTGCCCGCTAGCGCTTGTGAATAGAAACGCCTAGTGGTGAGCGCTGAGTCCGTCGGAAACTTAGAACCCATACTGTTTCTGAAGAAGTCGTGGGTGTGGAGTGGAAAATGTAAACTCTGACAAGGAAAAACAAAACCAGCAACAAAAATTGGGAATGAGGTTGGGATAATTGAAAAATATATATATTGATCTCTGTCCCCAATTCTTGGCACAGAGCTCCCGAACCCTTGTAATTTCCTAAGTGATAGGAACACTTAGGAGCATCTCTTATTCTAATATTTGGTCTTTGACTCCACACTGAAACAGGGCTCCTAAAACCCCTGGAAATTCTAAGTGATTAGAGCACTAGGAGCAGCTTTTGCTCTAATGAGGTGACTCTGGGTGGCTCCTGGATGGGGGCTGGTCTTCAAAGACCAAGCCATTAAAAGCTGTGAATGTTCAGTACCCCCAGCAACCACCACCGCCACTTCTCCAGAGAGGGGAGGGGCATGGAAATGGAGTTAATAACTGACCACACCTACATGTGGAAGCCACCATAAAATCCCAACAGTACAGGGTTCGGCCAGCTTCCAGGTGGGCAAACACATCCACACTGGGAGGGTGATGCACCCCCAACTCCACGGGGACAGAAGCTCCGGCACTCAGAACCCTCCCAGACCTCGCCCTACACATCTGTCCTCTGGCTGGTCATCTGTAGCCTCTACCATATCCTTTAACAAACCAGTAAATGTTAAGTGTTTTCATGAGCACTGTGAGCCGCTCTGGCAAAGTAAATGAACCCAAGGAGGGAATCGCTGGGAGGTCTGATCTATAGCCAGTTGATCAGGTATTTATTTGTACCTGGGCTTGTGACTTGTCTGGAGAGAATGAGAGAGAATGAGAGAATGAGAGAGAGAGAGAAAGAGAGAAAGGGGAGCACACACAAGGGGCAGTCTTGTTGGAATGAGCCCTTAACCTGTGGGATATGATACTATCTCTGAGTAAATAATCACACAGAATTGCTTTTTGTAGGGAAAAACCTCTATACACTTGGCGATCACAAGTGTCAGAAGTGAAGTGTTCTGTGTGAGTATGTAAAAGTAAAAGGGAAACACAGGATGGAAGAACTGGGGTTTTTTCCAACACAGGAGGTGGGCAAAATTGTATTTTTCCTAAACAATAGGAATGAATAGAAATTTAAGTACTAATTGCCTCATCTCTCATAGCAGGAAGTTAATTTTTCTGTTAAATACAGAGGGTGCAAAAAAATGTATACATGTTTTAAGAAGGGAAAACTGTATTAAAATTGTAATACTCAATATACACCGATAACAAAAGACGAATGCAAGTCACGTTTGACTTCTGCAATTACAAGAGGTGCTCAAAGTGGTTACCGTCAGTGTTCAGACACTTCTGATTATGGCAAATGACTGCTTGAGCAACGTTGACGAAAGTGTCCACTTGTATTTACTTTTTTGGCACCCCCGATATATACAAAATTAAATACAATACTTTTATTTTAAAAACAAATAGCACATACAACACTGCCTATTTAAATTATGTCCATTTAGTTTTTCATCCTTTCATCCTTTTAACTACATATCTGAAAGAAAGATGTCTACAATAATAGCCAAAAGTTAACAATGATCATTTCTGAGAGGTAGAATATTGGGGGAATAGTTAATGGCATTAGGAATCTTTAGGAGGTATACTTATGAGTGATTTTTGTTCTTTTTTCTACTTTTGTATATATTCTATACTTTGAAACGTGTCCATATACATTGAAAAAAAAATTGAACAGTCGCCGGTTTGATTCCCAGCCCAAGCTGAGCTATCGCTGAGCTGCCAACAGGTGGCAGGATGGCTCAGCTAAAAAAAAGAAAAAGAAAAAGAAAAGAAAAAAAAAATTGAATGCCTCTGTCATAAAGGATAAAGGATAATTGAGAACAAGAGCAAGAAAACTCTGCCACAGAAAGACCAAGCTTATTTAAGGCAAAAGAGCAGAACAGTAATTAGCAGAAAGAAAATGCAGACTGAGAAGTAATGGCCCTTGAAACTAATAAATGTTATTAGCATTTCACTAAGAAATTTCACTAATAAATCCCATCTAAATGACAATAACTCCCAAATTCATACCTCCATCTCAGACCTTTCCTTGAACTCCACAATCATACCCCATTACTTATTCAATACCTCTACTTGAAGATCTGACAAGTATTTAAAACATAATATGTCTCAAACCAAAATCAAATTCTGTTTTCCCCTCCAAACATGCTTCTCTGTTAGCCCTTCCCACTTCACTAAATTCAAGTCAAAAGCTTTGAAGTCATCTTTCACCATCTCTCTCACACACCCACCCACCCCCAATCCAATCTCAGCAAATCCCACTGGCTCTATTTCTACCAAAACATAACTTCAATCCTGTCACTTCCACTAGCTTCTCTACTATCAGCCTACTCTAAGCACATATTTTTAGACTGGACGACTACAGCAGCCTTCTAACTGGTAACCAGCTCCCACTCTTGCCCGGCCCCTGTATCTATTCTCCAAACAGCAGCCAGAGTCACCTTTTTAAAGCACAGGTCAGATCATGTCACACTTTTGCTCAAAACTCTAAAGGTCCCGTCTTATTCAGAATAAAAGCCAAAGTCTCTACCACGCCCTACCAGGCCCTACATGGGCTCCTCCCTTTTAGCCTCCTTCCTCTTTCATCTAGTCACAAGGCTCATTCCCTCACTCATTCAGATCTCTGCTCCAATAACATCTACTCAGAGAGGACTTTCCTTTCTATTAAATATGCATGCATCCCCACATCCTTTTCCTGCTTGATTGAGAGCAGGGAGTTTTTTAATTTGTTCATGTCTATATCCCTAGGGCTTAAACAAGTATCTGAGGGCCGGCTGAGTGGCTCAGTTGGTTAAAAGTTAGCTTAAGAGCGTGAGCAACAGGGCCGACGGTTCGATTCACACATGGGCCAGTGATGCTAAGCCGGCCTGAGCTGAGCTGCCGCTGAGATGCCAGGAGGTGGCAGGATGGCTCAGCTGATGAGAGCATGTGCTCCTAACAAGACTGCCTGTTTGATGGTGGGCTATGTCCGGCCACAACTAAGACTGAACTTGGCACCTTGAACTGAGCTGCCGCCTGGATGGCTCAGTGGATAGAGTGTGTGCTCTTAACAACAAGGCTGCTGGTTCGACTTCCACATGGGATGGTGGCTACACCCACCTGCAACTAAGATTGTAACACAGCACCTTGAGCTTAGAGGCCACGAGCTGTCGACGGGCAGCCAGATGGTGACCGGTGCCCTCTACAACTAAGGTTGAAGAACAACAACTTGGCTGGTCCCCCTCCCCAATTCCCCAACACTGTTCCCTTCCCCCAATTCCCCAATATAAAAAAAAAAAAACAAGTACCTGACACAAAGTAGGTGCTCAGTATTTGTCAAAGGAATTAATCAAAGAACCCAATAGTCTACTTTTCTCAAAATACTGCAAATATCTTTCTTTACTTTTCAGATTATCAGACTACTCTCTACATTACTGTAATTCAGGCAAATATCATTTGCTCTTAGTGTAAATTATGAGAAACTCTATAAAGCCCAGGAGTCAAGATTAGTTTCCTGTCAGTTCCACGTGTGTGCATTTGGGGGAGGGTGTGTGCTAAGAAGGGGAGGACTAGTCACCAGAACTACTAACCCAGCCCCTGGTATGTGGAAGAGCCTTGGTTGCCTTATCCCCCGTTATGACGGAACGAGATTTCAGAAACTAATGCTGGCCCCAGTGTACCTGTCCCTGTTGGGTCACCTCCCTGGATCATGAAGTCTTTGATGATTCTGTGGAATTTGGTGCCATTGTAGTAGCCTCGACGAGCCAACTCAGCAAAGTTCTTACAGGTCTTTGGTGCATGCTTCCAGTACAGCTCCAGCACAATGATGCCCATGCTGCAGGGGAAGAGGGCGGTAGAGCACGAGTCAAGAACAAGGTCACAGCAGACAGGAATATTATGGGACAGCTCCAGGACTCTTCATTTCCAAGCTTGGAAGTCACGAAATTGTGATAAACATCAGATTTCATGCTCAGCAAAGGAAAACACAATGCAAGTAGCAGGAACACAGTTATTTCCTTAGAGTAAACCATGCAGGGGCTTCTGGTACTTCTTTTAAGCAAAATAACCATGGACAACTAAAAATTTTAACACCTTACATATAAAAAAAAAATCACCAATCACAGGAAACTAATATAACCAACCCCTAAATTAATAGAAAAAAATCTTACACTTTGTAAATTTTTTAAAAAGGAGGATATTAAAATACCAGGAACTCATATTTCTTTATATATGCATGAGGTTCTGGGTGGGGATAGAAATGGGATAAATGGGAGACAGGAAGGTCTTCAATAAATATTTTTTAAACTTTCATATGTTTGTAAATATATTACCTATTCATAAAAATTTTTAATGGGAAAAAAAGGTACAGTTTCTACGTATTTAGGAAGGGGTGCAACAAAGGCAAGACCTAATTACTTCAAACCTTATACCTACCCAATGTGATGAGCACTTGCTTTTCCCAAGTATTGCTAAGGAAAAAGAAGACATAAAAGACATAGGACAGGTGCCTTCCCCTCCACTCCATCACTCACCTAGCCTTTAAACTCCAAGAATGTGAATAGCCAATGCAAAGCAGTGTAAGCACTCTATACTTTCTAAATTACTGTTGTAGACAGGTTCTTGGAAACTGTGACTTCTAGTGAAACAATGTATAATGAAACCAATTTACCCTAGGCTAACGGATACAAATAAGAGTTAAGTTCCTGAGGCATACTTCTGGTCATAAAAACATCACCAAACTTCTAAATAAAGACCAAAAACACTTCTAATATTTTACACTGAACAAAAATGTGAGCTATGCATACATTTAAAAAAGATTAATAAAACAAGTAAGATAATTATTTTCTAACCTGTTTATTCCAATTCAGAGTCTTGGGTGGCTGCAGCCCATCCTGGCAGCTCAGGGCACAAGGCGGGAACCAACCTTGGGGCAGGCCGTCCTTCCATCCCTGCACTCACACCACACCCACACTCACTCTGGGACAATTCAGACACCCTAATTCACCTATAGTGTGTATCTTTGAGATGTGGGAGGAAACTGGAGTACCTGGAGTTAACCCACACAGACATGGGGAAAACATGCAAACTCCACAGTCAGGGGCCCAGGCAGGGAACAGATTTTTTTTCCTCATCAGCGTTATAACAGAAGAATGTTGAACGTTTTTCAAGGACCGGCTGTATATGTAGTTTGTGCCAGAACATAGCTTTCTACTGGCAATTCATCCTTCACATCACTAATATTCAACACAGATTAACAATTACTCTGTGCAAGACACAGTTCTAGATGCTTTTCCCTTCATGGAGCTTACATTCTGGTGGATATTTTAAAAATACAGGTAATAACTTTTGGGACTGGCAATCAGGAAGCACCTATACTTTGAAATGTGCATACTTTTTGATAGCAATTTCAACTTCTAAGTGTCTATTCTGCAGGAAGACTTTCTAAAGTACTGAAAGATACAATATGTAAAAGGGTGTTCATTCCAGTATTTGTCATACTAAAAAACAAGAACAATTTAGATGTCCTTAAAAGAGGGAATGACTAAAATATGAAATATCCATACTACAGAACGCTACATGTACTAGTGTGAGAAAGGCAAATTACAGAAAAAACCAAATACAGCATGATCATCTGACCCTATGTTAAAAAAAAATAGAGCATAAAAGAAAGATATTTATATGTACATAGAAAAAGACCTGCAAGACCGGCCAAAAAACAATTAAAAGTATTTTTACAGGGAGGGGTGACTTTCACTGCTTGTTCTATACACTTTTACACTGCATGGATTTAAATTTTATTTTGTACTTTCAGAAAAACGTTAACAGGTGAGTTCAGAAATTACTTTCAAATTGGGGCCCAAGAAAGTAGAAATTTGATGTATAAGGTGGGGAAGATGGCTTGGGAGCAAAAGTAACATCTGAGAGAACTGTGCTCTGGTGGAAAGCAGTATAGGCAAGAACAGAAAGAAGACAGAGATGGTGGCTGGACCCTGGCTACTGATGGGGAAATGGCAGAAGAGGTAGCCAGAGAGGTGGGCAAAGGCCAGATGAAGTAAATCATCTTGAATGTCAGACTACAAAGTTTTAATTGTATAGTGCTGTAGTAGTAAAAAGTTACTTAAGTTTATTTGTCCTACTTTGGAAAGACCTCTTTGAACTTTCTCCAAAAGAGGCAATGGAATGAATGGGGCTAAAGAACCAAGCATGTGAGGCAGACATATCAGGTTCCAAATGAGGTTCCCCTCCTTGCTAGCTGTGTGGCTTTGGTCAAGCCATTTCATCTGTAAATGTTGGCATTTCCCTGCTAAAATTGGAGAGAAGGTGGAATAACACCTACGTGGTTTGAGTTGCTAGGAGGAGTAAACTAAATGTGATGCTACACATGTGAAGCTAGGGGCACAGCACCTAGCTGGTTGGTACTCAATTATACCACTCCTTGATTGTGGGGGAAATGTTCTTCTTCCTGTGTTCTCCTAACAATTTGTTTATACAACTGTAGTACTTACAAAGTTACAACTGTAGTACTTACAAAGTTACAACTGTACTACTTATCACGTTAATATTTACATATCTGTCTCCTTCACTACACTGCAAGGCTGTGTGTGTTTTATCCACCTCTGTATCGTCAGATGCCAGATTCCACGTCCCCGCCTGTGGACTCAATACACGACTGTTGAATGAATGGATGAATGAACGGAGGGCTAGGAGGAAGGCAATCAGACAGCTGTCGCTTGAGGTCTCAGCGCGAGCCGGTGCGAAGCTCGGACGCCAGGGGTGACGGTCCCCATTCAGCGCTCACTGCCGCCGCTCCACGCCTCTCCACGAGGAGGCCGGCCCAGCGAGGGAGCACGCCGGGAACCTAGCCCCAAGGCGAAGCCCGGGCTCCGCGTCGCCTCCGCCAGCCCAGCCCCAGAGGCCCGACCCCCCTCACCTGGTCTCCAAGTATACGTTGGGCGGCTGCCAGGAATCGGGGGGAATCGCCGCCATAGCGAAGCCCGCGGAATCCTTTTCTAGCCAACTGCTACTTCCGGCGTCGATTCGCTGGGGACCCGCCGCTGCAGCGCACACTTCCGGTCCCCGCCGTTCAACCCTGGCGATGCCGGGATTTGGGGAGTTGAGACAAAAGAGGAAAGAGCCCACCTCTAAGGCCGGGGAAGCTGGGGTGCTAGGCGAAAACAGGCCGGCGCCGCAAGAACGGAGGAAAACGCAAGCTCCATCAGAAGTAGTCTCCAAGTGAAGAAAGCGCGCCACTCTACAGACTCTCTGATTGGCTCGTTTCGGCGTGGAAGGCGGGAACAATCAGCAAATCTGCACTCCGATAGGAGTTAGGTCTTAACTCCATTCCAAGAATTTCTTAGTCCCACCGTAGGGCAGGGCTCGGAAGGAGAGGAAGAGAATGAAAGGGAATAGAGATGAGAAGATACCAGTAACTAGCTTTGCTAAAGCGCTGTACAGTTTACTTGGCACTTACACTTTATTATCAAATCTACTCCACAAAGCAATCCTGTAGATATTATTATCCTAATTTTTCAGATGTTAAAACAGATTTAGTAGTTAGATTGCCTATAGACATACAGCAAATCCGAGCCTCCAGACTCCAAAGGCAGAGAGTATAGGAAGAGAGGGAAGAGCCCAGAACAAAATGAGAGATAGGAAAAGGGAGAGATCAAAGAGATCAGGACTAGAGTGACTGGCTGGGATAGATGGTGCCCCAAGGTTGTTAGAAGAGTTTGCTCAGGGTCAGAGGAGGAGAAGCAAAGTAGAGGCACTGTGAGGAAGTTTGGATAGAGGACAAGAAAGAAATAGGGGTAAATAAGTTTATATAGTAAATGCTTTACACACCACTTAATAATGATGGCTAAATGAATGCTTACTTTGTGCCAGGCTAAGCACTATTGTGTACTTTCACATTGCCAAAATCAAACACAAGTGGAGACCAGACTTGAAAATTCCCTGAGCAGACAAACCAGTTTAGTAATACAAGCAAAACTTAATTTAGCTTATTCTTGTAAAACAAGCAAAACTTAACTTGGGCCACTTCTCATGAATGCCTCTGAAAATCATAAACAAAACTTAAATTGTTCCCCAAAATTGTTGAATGGTAACCACTTTTAACCCATCCTCTATCACAAGGAAAACTCTAATTTTATAACCAATCACTGAAGAATAAACAGCCACCGCCTCCTCACTATGTAAGCTGCTTTACAACAATGTACTTCTGAGCCTCATTCCATGTTCAGCTTGAGTGCTCTCAGTTTGAAAACTTGTGTGTGTTCACAATAAACTTGCTAATTACTACTCCAGTGATCCAGTGGTTTTACTTCCACTATTTCTGAACTTTTGACAACACTTAATCTTCAAAACCTGTGAGGCAGATATTATTACTATTCCCTTTTTACTTTGAGGAAACTGAGATAGAGATGAATAACTTACTCAAAGTACCACTGCTGTGAGCCTGTGCTCTTAACCACAGTTTAATCCTAGTTTCCTTAATTGTCAAGTGGGAATAAGGTTATACAAGGTTGTCAATATCAAACTAGACAGTAGAACTCCTTGAGAGAGGAACTGGACTTCCTTCATCTATGTGCCCTCCTCACAGAGTAGTGAGTTTAGGGTGCTCAGGTTTCACTGAATGAATAACAGACATAAAACAACATTTTAGATTGATGAGTACTGTGCTAATGAAAGGTATAACTAATTTTACACCTCCTGCAGTCTCGTGTTCATTTGCTCTTTGTGACTTTCAATTGTGGGAGGGAACAGCATTGGGGAATCGGGGAAGGGGAACAGACAAGTTGCTGTCCTTTTGTTCTTCAGTCTAGTTGTGGAGGATGTCACTTCACTGGCCCATGTTGGTATTATCATTGCGCTCTTCCCGAGTGAGGCAGTTGGTCGCCGGCCATTGGATGGCCCCTCACGGCGGCTCATGGCAGCTTTATGGCAGCCCACTGTAGCCCCACTACAGCTTACGCCGTCGCCAGCAGCCCAGCTCCAGGTCGAGCTGTTGTTTACCATCTTAGCTGTAGAGGGCAGTGTCACTGGCCCATGTGTGATCCGAACCAGTGGCCCAGCTGCCCAAGCCAACTCTTAACCAACGAGCCACTCGGTTGGTCCTCTTTGTGACTCTTGAGCTGGATAGGAAAGTCTTTATCATTGGTCCATCTTAGGAGGCTTAGGGGATAGTGAGGATGTGTTGGGGTTCACAAGAATAAGGCAGTGTCTTGCTGTCTCATTCCAAAGTCCTTCCTGAAAAGGCTCGATATTTATTGACCTTTTTGTCCCCAGGACAACATCAGGTGTCAGTGACTTCATGACAGAGTTGACAAAGAGGCCTGAAATCCTTTTCTGAGTTTTAGCTAATGGTTCACATTAAATTAATCAGAGTGGCTTGTATTTACTTCATTTATTCTGTATCTTCCTGTTTACAATAGACTCTCTCCCTTTCTCTCTTCTTGGTCTTTAATTCTGTGCTGCCTTGCATTGTCTAATTACTTGTGTCAGATTCTCTTTTCTCCAAGTAGATTGTTAAGAGCCCATGTTAGGGACCATGTCCTAATTCAATTCAGTTCAGTATTCACACAGGGCCTGTTCCAGACCAGAACTTGAACAGAGAGAGCCTCCAATGGCTGAGTGCAGATAAGGCACCAACCCACAAACAAGCAATTCTGTTAAACACAGGGTGCTATTGCCTGGGAACCTTGTCAAAAGTTTTTCTAAATCTCCACAGAGAGAAGCCAAACAATTTACTAAAGAAATGAGTAGATTTACTATCATTTCCTTCCCTATCCTCTCCCCCAAACCAGTGCCTCCTCCTATGCCTCGGATCACTATTGTCCTAATCACCAGGCCTATCTTTGACTCCTCAAACTCCCTCATCTACATCCCCACCCACATTACAGGTTACCAAGCACTTTCACACTCATGTTCTCATCTCAGTCTCCCATTGGCAAAGTTTTAGAGTGGAGGGCTCTGAGCGACCATCTGGAGGCGCAATTAGCTTCAGGGCCCACGAGGATTTACTGAGGGCTGGAACCCAAGCCTTTCCCCTGCCTTCCTTTCCTGAGCTTTTCTACTACTCAGCAGCCTTTCTGATCTCTTTTTTTCCTGGGAAATGTTTAAATGGATTCTCATTCTTCCATTCCCTTTACCTAGACCCTCAAAGTTGTATTTCCCTTGAACTTTCCCAAGTTAATTTTCCCTCTTCCAATCTAGCCTTCATCCTCCACTGTGTGTATATGTCCTTAGCAGAGCTCTGATCATGTCGCATCTGTGCTCAAAAATCTTCAGTGGTTTCTCACTGCCCACAAATTAAAGTCCTAGCATTCAAGGACTTCTTGGCCAAACTGATCTTTATGACAAACTGACCTTTAAAGATTGTTTTTCTTCTATAGGTGTCCTTAGCCTCAGCCAGATTGATATTCCAGCTTCCCAAAATGTGCTTGTCTTCCCTCCTTCTGAATCTTCTCACTCCTACACCTTGTGCCTGAAATGTGTCCATTATCAGGCTCCAGTGTCTGAATCCTTACAGGCCACCTCCAAGGTCACTTTCTTGAGACCTAAATCTTTTCCTGGAGCACCTACCAGCCACTAGGCACTGAGGAAGATAGAGATGGGTCACGTGCACTGTGCCCAGCCCCAAAGGAACGCACATGCTGGGAGAGACAGACAGTTAAATATACAGCTACAGGAGAATGAAGTGATGGTAGTAACATGGGAGCACACGGTGCTTCCTGAGCTCTGGTTGTTCCGGTGCTGGCTTTGAGTAGTCAGAGATTTCCCTGGGAGTGATAACCTCAGCTGAGATTTGGAAAAGGTTGACCCAGGAGAGGTTTCTCCTCACTGTAGATCTGGAGCATTATAAGGGGCTTGGGAAGTCAGAGATTGTTTTTCAGGCTGTCCTGGAGCTAAGCATAAGGGGATCATGAAGCATCTGGGAACTTGATTCTGAGGGCAGTAGGGACCTGTGAAGTGACGCAGTCATATTTGTATGTTGGAAGTGCCACTCAGGCTGTGATATGGAGAGTGGCAGGAAGGGCCAAAAAGACATGGGCTTTCTAGGACATCTGGACTCCCTAGAGCACTTTTTTTTTTTAAGTAAAAATTTAAGTTGACGTATAATATATATCCTGAAAAGTGGGCAGATCCTAAGTGTGACAGTTCAACTAATTATTGCAAAATAAACCCACCTGTATAACAACCATCAAGAAAAACAATGTTTCCAACCACACCAGTCAGTATTCCTCCCCGTTCCTCAAAAGTAACTACTCTCTAACTTCTAAATTCACAGTTTTCCCTGGTTTTGAAATTTATATAAATGGAGTCATAAAGTATTTTCTATATCTGGCTTCTTTTGCTTAACATTGTTTGTGAGATATACTCATGTTGTTATATATAGTGACCATTATTTCCTTTTTCAGTGCTGTGTAGTATTGCGTTGCATGACTGTATAGACTACAATATACATTCTATTGTTAATGGCCATTTGGGATGTTTCCAGATAATGGCTGTTACAAATAATACTGCTACAAATATTCTTTTATGTATCTTCCTGTGCTTGTACATGAATTTTGGGGTATATACCTAGAAGTACAATAGAATTGCTGGGTCATAGGTTATGTGTATATTACACTTTAGTAGTTAACACCAGATTGTTTTCCAAAGTGGCTGTAGCAATTTACATTCCTACCAGCAGTGTGTGAGTTGCTGTTGCTCTGCTTCCTTGCCAACATTCAGTGTTGCCGGTCTTTTCCGTTTAAGCAATTGTGGAACCTGGATAATATCTCAGTAGTCATCTCCCTAACAACCAATGATTAACTGGGACACTTTTTCATAGGTGTATTTGCCATTTGGATATCCTCTTTCGTGATATTATCTTTTCGTGTTCAAATCTTCTGTCCATTTTTCTACTTGGCTCTTTTGAAAAATTTTTACTTCTTCATATATCCTGGACACAGCTCTTGGTTGGTTTCTTTTACTCTACCGCTTATCTTTTCAATTCTCTTAATCCTGTCTCTGCAAGTTAACCTTTCCATAAACCTCAGCTTGGCTGGTATGAGGATAAGTGTTGTGGAGATTTTTATATCATTGGGTTGTTGAGGCGGTTTCACAAATATAAGGTGCTTGGTAATGTCTGGCACAGAATAAGCTCTCAACAGAGAGGGCCGTGAGCTAATCCATTTTTTTGCTTGTCTTTCAGACAAGGAGCTCCCAGAGGTAAGGGCCTGTCCCTCC